GAATGTACGCCTTCATAGTCAAGTGAGAGGATGGTGGAAGACGAACTCTACCGGCCATCTACATCCCATGCTGAGTGGAAGTATGGCAGGAACAACAGGGAGAACAAAGTTTTTTTCAACTAGAAGGAATGGAAAGGGCATCTCTGGTCCAGGCATGCAAAGCATATGAAGAGGGGAGGAAGAAGAAGAAGAAGAGGGAGAGGAAGAAGACGTACAGACGCTTGTTTGGACAATTTATCCCTCACCGCTGGTGGCTTCATCGTTCATGGTGGCGCCGGTTGGAGTGAAGGTGCCGGTGAGCTTGGAGGTGCTAGGGTTTCGAACTGAAAAGAGGAGAGGGGGAGTTTGAACTCTTGAAAATAAATGAGGGTTTTGTCTTTTTTGTGTCCAGTTGAACTAGACGAACATCCAAACTTGCCCGTTACACATTCAACGCCGAGTTTGACGTGGCCGAACATGATTGGCGGGTGCATTCATCCAGTGCACCCATGGGTGCACAGAACATGGACTCCATCCTCAACACTTTGCCCACACATAACACATGCATAAGGCACTTCGCCTTTCTTTCCTTGCATACTTTGCCTTAACATTTGCATCAACTATCAAGAAGTCTGAGGCATCAACAACAATCCACCTATGCACCTGTAGCCTAGAATAATCCCCTACATGGTAGGTTCTAAGTTCTATGCCTTAGAACCAAATCAAATTGGCCCATGCTCAACCCAACCCAACCCACATGAGTTGCACACACCTACTTAACACAAAGGCTTGAAGTGAGAGTGAGAGGTTGGATAGGCCTTATCAACACCACTTAGGATTTGCTACTTGCTTGGTTGCGTATCACTTGCTACATAACCAATCACAAGTCAACATACCAGTATTCTATACCCATGGGGCCCACATGCCATTGTATGGAAAATTAGTGTATTAACTTGTCATTGGTTACATAGCAAGTGATACACAACAAAGTGAACAACAAATTTAGGTTCTATTAACACATCAATCCAGAACTACCAAGCATATCAGTGTAGGAGATCTAGATTAGGGGTGATCATTTCAGCCCAGCCCGACCCAAAAATTTCGAGCTTGGCCCGGGGCTGGGCCCACATCAGGCCTGCAAATTTTAGGGCCGGGCTTGGGCTTAATACTTCAAGCCCGACCTGCATATATTTAAACTTACGCATTTTGCGTATAATGTATACATGTTATTTTACAATATATTATATATTTTACATAAATATTATAACATGACATGTATAATTTATATTATATGTAATATTTTATATTATATAATGTATAAAATAAGTTTATATGCATGTTATGTCATTTAATATATAGATATATAATATTTTATATTATATAATGTATAAAATAAGTTTATATGCATGTTATGTCATTTAATATATAGATATGTAATGTTTTATATATGAGTGACATTGGCCCAAAATCAAGCCCGACCCGGCCCGGGCTAGGGCTTATGTTTCAGGCCCGGAACTCTAGGTCAAGCCGGGCCTGGGCCTACGCTATAGCCCTTATCATAAGTGCAAAGCCCAACCTGGCCCATGCACCCTTAATCTAGATCTTTCATTTTTGTACTAAGCCCTGGGCCTTTAAGCTAAGGCTAAAGTAACAATTAACTAAATTTATGGGGGTGATTTTGATTAATAATGGGGTATGCGTTAACATGAACAAAATGCATTGGGATCTACTATTTAACACATACACATAAAATGGGTAATGTAACCAATCAAAAGTGAACACATCAATGTTCAATATACATGAAACCAACATGTGATGTATGCCAATGTATATAAAACACTGCATTTTTCCTCTTGATTGATTATATAGCCGAGTTTACACTTCTAGTTTTGCAACTTCACCTTCAGCCATTAATGTCTTGACTTCCTTAAAATCTTACTCATTAAAAGACAAAGCAATTAAGTTTTTCCATTGATCCCCTTCAACTATTATCAAACGACTCAAACTAATAGGCTACCAACCAAGGGCTGGTTCGTTGGTGAATTAGTCGGTTTGTTCAAGCGTTGATGCAGAATAGAATCCCACAACCAACACTTTGAGGAAAAAGGGGTCAAGGGGAAGTTATTAATGGTGCATGGGTATTGAGAACAGCACATCCCCGCCATGTGTTGGGAACATCTCCTAAAGGTGACCATCATTCCTGATATTATCATTGGGAGATGTTCACAATACACGACGGGGATGGGTTGTGGGACGTTATAGGGGCATTCTTGCGGGAGGTAATTTGAACACCCAAAGGAGCATTATGTCACCAAAATTCTGAAGAAATTGGCATGAGTGAAGGCTCTTTCCCAACAAGATTTCCCTCCCAAATCTGCAATATTTACTATTCATGCACGAAATGAGGTGGTTGGCCCAAACATGCCCCACCCCTCCAAATAAGACTTTAGCTTGGAACTCCAAACACGCCCCAAACCTGATCCGATTAGAGTAGGTTTCGGATACCTTCCTTGATCCTAAATTCCTAATAAATTGAAAAAAAAAAGTAGATCCATTTAGTTAACATATCAAATTCGGATATACCCTGATCCAATCCACCACGACCCAATCTAATCCATTAGTTATGCAATATTATATATAATATATAATATATAATATATTACACACTATATATTCTATATTATATATGTATATTCTATATATTATTTCTTATTTATTGTATATTATAATATATTATTTATATTATATTATGGAAATTTTTATTGCAATTCTAATCAAATCAAATTTGGATTAGTCAGATATCTTATCGGATCAAATCAGATCCCTAGGCCCTGACAATTCTTCATCTTTAGGCCTTGCTCCGTTATACTTTAGCTTCTATTTCCTTTTGCATCCATGTATTTAAATACTTTTATTTAGGATTTTTGGCTCCGACAACCCCTAAACTTTGTGAAAAAATGCCAATTTCAACCTTAAAGAAAAAGGGTCATTTTCGAACCCAAACTTTGATAAAAAGGCCATTTTATAGACAAAAACAAACGATGTTTGAAATAGCATTGACAAATCTATTAGACAACATTATGTGGCATTGCTAAAGTTTGAAAAAGGGCATTTTCAACCCCAAAGTTTAAAAATGACTACTTTAATAAAGTTAATTAAGTAAATCACTTATGGCCTAATTAAATAACCCTAAAGTGTTTTATTTATTTAATTAAGTTAATTAACTAAATCATACTAATTAAGATAATTAAGTAAATTAAGCAATTAAATCAATAAATTAAATTAATTAAGGAAAATCAATCTAAATAAGTAAATTAAGTCAATTAAGCAAGATAATTTAAAAACTGACCCAAAACATAACCACTTTGGCCACTAGTTTCTAACTCAACAATTCGGTAATCCAATCCAAATGGATTAACCCATGACATTTTAAAAAATAAAAAATAAAATATAATTAAAATAAAAAATGACTCAAAAACCATTTATTGTATCAAACAATTTGGAAATTAAACCATTTGGGATAGCAGTTTATTAACAAAGTAAATGTTTTTTTGAAAAATTTCGGGCCAAGTACAAAATGGAATTGGGCAATTATCCACTTGGGTATAAAATGGAACTTGAGAATTGACCAATTCTTGGACTAAACAGTTTGACCGCCCGAAATTTTTAACTTGGTTAACAAATTGTTAAACCCAAACAGTTGAACTATTAAACTGTTCTACCAGTAAATGTATTTTGTGTCATTTTTTATTGTACTTAAATTATATTCTTTTATTTTTCAAAACAACATAGGTTGATCCATTCAAACCAAACAATCAAACCATTGACCTAGAAACTGGTGACCAAAATGATTCCATTTTAATCTGGTTTTTAAAACTTTGCTTAATTTGCTTAATTTACTTATCTAGATCAATTAACTTTGTTTATTAAATTTAATTAATTAACTTTGTTTCCTTAATTACTTTACTTATTTAATTGTTTAATTTGCTTAGATAGAATAATTTTTCAATTTACTTAAATAAATTAAATAATTTAAGGTTGTTTAGTTAAACCTTGAAATAATTTACTTAATTAATTTTGTTAAAGTGACCTACTTTTTAAACTTTAGGGTCAAAAGTGACCTTTTCTTCAAACTTTAGTAGTGCCGTGTAATGTTGTTCAATGGATTTGTCAACGCCGTTTAAACGCCATTCGTTTTTGCCGGTGACCTTTTTATCAAAGTCTGGAATTGAAATTGACCCTTTTTTATTCCTTAGGGTCAAAATTGGCCTTTTCACAAAGTTTAAGAGTTGTCGGAGAAAACTCCAAATTGGAACAAGGAAAATTCACGAACCCAACTACTGCCCATTTTAGTAATTACAAGCAAGTTGCTAAGGTCACCCATATGTATTGATCATAGTCTGTAATTGCTTCCTACCAACTTTTACAATTCACAATTAACAATAATAGCAATCCCAGAAGCACTTCAACCATATATCCAAGGTTCAAATACCGACACATATTGGCCCGTATTGGCGATACGTATCATTTCGGGAGCTCCCCGATACACCCCTAGAGAGGGTGTACCGGGGTTATGACCGGTTCAGGGGGTGGAGGAGTTTTAAACCACCCCCCTGAACCAGTTTTGAAAAAATATAAAAAAAGTAAAAAAAATAGTACTGATATAGCCCGATACGCCCCTACCGGCATATCGGGTATATCAATATTTTGAACCTTGCATATATCAAAAGGAGGAGAGGGATGGGGGCATTGGACCGTCAAGTTCTAGGCAAGGTTCAAAGTATCGATAAAGGCTGATACGCCGCCAGTAGGGCATATCAGCCTATACTGGTACTCTTTTTTTTTTTTTGAATCTGGTTCAGAGGGGCCAATTTAAGGCCGGTCTACCCCCTGAACCACTTGCCAACCTGAAACACCCCCTGTAGGAGCGTACCAGGGAGGCTCCGATACGATACGGGCCAATACGTATCGATACTTTGAACCTTGGTTCCAAGTGCCTCCATTGTTTCCAGAGTATGACAAACATGCAGCACACTCCTGGTGTAGGTTATTCAGCAAATTTCAAGCATTCATCCTTGATACAAGACTAGAATATCTGTATCCATAGGCTACATAAAAGAGGTGTTGAGGAAGTTTGATCTTGGACGATGACAAAGGAAAAGCAGAAGTGAAATCCTAAACATACAGATCAAACAGCTCATTCCAATGGGACCTAGGCCGGCCAACAAGGTGATTGTCTTGTTACTGGGAATGATATTCAAGTTTAGACTTTTGAGAATCACCAGGATTTCATTTTTCTACTCAGTTGCCATCCTCTGGAGTGTTCCTGCAGGGCTGAGAACTCAGCTTCACAAACAGAACAGAAAATAAGCAAATTAGGGTCAAAACTCATCAAACACCAACTCTCTAGTGGATGGTCTAGGTAGCAAAGGCACTGTATTAAAAAGCTAGATGTTTGAGGCACAACACATAATTACCAAACCATGGGAATTTTTTATGTTCTGAATGTGAGATCCAATTCATCTCTTTCAGCAGTCCCCTATTCCTTTCTTTTCTGAGCCTTAGGGCATTAGGCCAACATCATCTTATTTGTCAACACATTTGGGTTGTTTGCAAGGAAATATCCACATGTGACATTCACATCCATGAGATTGCTAGGTAGGTAGTTTCATAAAAGTCTAAATGGTCCACGAATTTTTCATGTAAAACATGGTTAGGACTTGGGAACCCAGAAGAGCCTTGATCACCCTCGTACCATTTCGCTTGGGGCAAATTTTGGCCTACAAACTCTTGCCCTTGCCCTGCATTTAGATGCCCTTCATGGGCAACTTTTAGATCAAGATTTGAATCTTTGGAAGGCTAATTAAGTGGGTAAAATACCAATACAAGATGGGGATAGGACTGATTTAGAGTGGAGGATTCAACATATGGTTAATCAAGAGAGGTCCCCCTCTCAGGTGGATGGCGTGGACTCTGTATTGGCTGGCAACGCCCCCACCCCCAAAATCTACCATGTGGCAAAAATAGGAAAAAATTAGTATACATGCATGCATGTGTGTGTGTGTCTAAAATTTAACAAAACCTGATGGGCAAATCTTTGTTTAAAATGAATATGACAGGCATCACTTATACAGGTATAAAATTTAGTTTCTACCAACTCAAAACTCCAAAAAATATTGAAAACTTATAGCAGAAAGAATAAAAAACAAGCCTCAGGTAACAGAGAATGTTAGGAGACAGCAGGAAACAGATGGTAAGCCTGCCTTGTTGCTTGGCCAGATTGAAAATTGAAAAACTATAGCACATCTTGTCCATGCAATCCTGATAAATTTGTTAGAAACAAGAATAAGTTGCAAGAAGAAAATACAACCTTGTAGTAGCATGGGGAATCCAGGGCCCTCGGGTATCAATAGCTATGTTCTCTAGCCCAATTGGAGTGGGGGACTCTTGGAGGGCTGAGGTGTTAGCAGCTTTGGAAGGGGTACAAAGGGCTAAAGACCTAAATGTCAATAAACTGATTATAGAGGAGATTCTGTGGTTGTAGTGAATTGGCTAAAAGAAGACAATTCTAAGCTTTGGAGTTACAGTAATGGAAAGAAAAAATTCAAATGGCTGATCAAGAATATGAAAGTTCAGTGTACTTRGGTAAAGAGAAATGCAAACTCCTTTGCTGATGGATTGGCTAGGCAAGGGGTGAATAGGGTTTCTGGGCTCAGTTGTAATTGTTTGTTATTTTCAGTTTGGGTGCCTACCCAATTTCTGGGGAGTTAAGATACTTTAGTCCCTCTTTTTTGTAAGTTTATTCCTATTTAATGAAATCTGTTGTTATTGATAAAAACAAAAAAAAGAAAAAAGAAAATACAACCTTAATCCTCTCCAACACCTGACTTATAACCATGAACAAAGAAGATTCTTTTACCGATCAAATAGAAAGCATAGAAGGCCAGTACTTTTGTGGCTTTTATTGGTTGCATGAAAAAAAAAAAAAAAAAAAAAACTGTGGCTTGCACAGTCTACATTTTCTTTTCCAATAGCCATTTGAAGAAGAATGCCCCACTTAATTACCAAAACTTGGAAAGACACTGATACAAAGTAGCTATTTCTAGAAGCACCAGATGTGCCAAGTCAAACAGAAAATAGATTTAAATTAGAAGTTATATTGAAGATACACCTTATTTTTTTTGGATTAGTAGGAAAACTGTATCAATCCAAAGAGAGTAGAAAAGTACAATATCCTACTTAACTAAGGGTATAGTACCACAACCACTTCTGGCTTGTCAAAGTCGTCTTCACTTTGGTGAAGGTATTAACAAAGTAGGAAAAACACATCAGTCCAAAAAAGGTAGGAAAATAAATCAATAACTTAAAAATGAGAACTAGCCTGCTGATAAATTCTGTTAACACTCTTATCTGAATAGAGAGAAGAACAAGAATAATCTTAGAGGTGTTAAGAATGAATGACCCCCACCTCAAAGAGTCTCTTATATATTAAAAGATATGTATAGTTACAAGAATGCCCAAATAGAATATAAAGTGTAAGTAATGTACAACAAGGACTATACTAATAAGATACATCAAGTTATAGAGTCTCCACATCCCCCCTCAAACTGATGCCTAGACAGACATAAGCATCAATTTGTCTATAAGAAAGAGATGTCGAACTCTAGTCAAAGCTTTGGTGAAGGTATCAGCAATCTACATGCCCGAGGCTACATGAGGAAGCAATATAGATCCATTAGTGAAGAGATCTTGGATAAAATGGCAGTCCACCTCGATGTGCTTGGTCCTCTCATGGAAGACAAGGTTAGATACAATCTTGATAGCACTCATATTGTCTGCATAGAGAGGAATAGGAGTAGGGAGATGAATGCCAAGATCCATAAAGAGAACCTGTAACCAAACAATCCCACTGCAAACTGAAGACATGGCCATATACTCTACTTCAGTGGAAGACTTGGAGACTGTTTATTGTTTCTTACACTTCCAAGAGATGAGTGAATCACCCATAAAACACACCACCCAGAAGTGGACCTACGAGTGTCTGGATAACCAGTCTAATCCGCATCAGCATATGCTCTCAACTGAATAGGAGAGGAGAAGAACAGTCCCCGGGAAGTTGTGCTTCTAACATATCGAATGATGCGATGAATAGCGGTCATATGAGGCTGACGAGGAGCAGAAACAAATTGACTAACAACCTGAACGTCATGAGAAATATCAAGCCGAGTCATAGTGAGGTAAATGAGGTACCCCAAAAGCTGGCAATATAAGGCAGCATTAGGAAGTAATGGACCTTCAAATTTAGATAGCTTAAGATTTAGCTCCATAGGTGTATCAACATGCTTTTCATCATTAAGACCAGCAAGTTTAACAAGGTCAGAGGCATACTTCTGCTGACAAACAAAACACCCTCGATCACTACGATGTACTTCCAGTCCTAGGAAATATGTGAGGGGGCCCAAGTCCTTCATGTGAAAGGAATTATGAAGTAATAGTTTCAATTCACGAATGCCTTCAGCATCATTCCCATTCAACAACATGTCATCAACATATAGTAGGAGAACTGTAATGCATTGAGGTCGTCGCCTAACAAATAAAGAGTGATCAGAAGAACTCTGGCTATATCCACTAGCAACTACAACATCGCGAAAGCATTCAAACCATGCCCGGGGAGCTTGTTTTAGACCATATAGAGATTTTTTGAGGCGACATACTAAAGAAGGATCACTGCAGTATCCAGGAAGAGGCTTCATGTAGACCATCTCCTTCAACTGACCATGAAGAAAGGCATTCTTCACATCAAGCTGGCATATGGTCCGAGACTAAGCAACAGACACTACTAAAAGAACACGGACGGTGGTGATCTTTGCAACAGGAGCAAAGGTTTCTTCATAGTCAATACCATACTCCTGACTATATCCTTGGGCAACTAAACGTGCCTTGTATCGATCAAGAGATCCATTAGACTTCAGCTTAATGTTGTAAACCCAACGACTCCCAACAATGGATGCATCTAGAGGAGCAGACACAAGATCCCAAGTGTCATTCTCATGTAAAGCATGAATCTCTGCATCCATGGCTTCCTTCCAATGAGGGCTACTATTAGCTTCCTGGTAGAAGTGAAGAACATTTGTGGAGGATAGGACAACAAACAAAGAGCTATGTTTTAAAGGAAAACCATAGTGGTTAGGAGGTCTAGATATACAAGTAGAACGACGAAGAGGAACAGAAGTATGAAGAGTGTCTGAAGTAGAGGTATCACTTACAGGAGCAGTGGTAGGATGATGATCTGAACCAGGAGGAAGGAGAGTCGTAGGCGCAGGGTGTTATGGGCCTGGGCATAGGATCTCGTCACGGGTCGGTCCACGGGGAGAACCTCTTGCTTCCCCTTGTGCCTTCCCTTGCGTGCAAATCCTATTGTGGAAAACCGAATGGGTGATTTGTCCGAGAGACCACCCGAACTCTCCTCACTCTTCTTTTAACTGGAAAACTGAATGCTTTATTCCCAATTCACAGCTCCTTAAATAGGAGATTACAAGAGGAGACTCCTTATTCCATTTGACTAAGCTAGGACAATCCAACTTTAAATCAAACTACTACTTCTAACAGACTTCTAACAGAACTTAGTTCCTATCTCTAATAGATAAGTAAGAATAGAACTGGATAAGGGATAAGTAAGAACAGAACTGGATAAAGTAAACTAATGATGAGCTGGCAAGTTGAGCTGACCTGGCAAGATAGCTGCAGTGTGGGCCCCCCCTCACTGCTGCTGCCGGCAGTGGTATGTCCTTCCCACGAATGCATCCATAACATCACACCCCTCCTGGGCAACGAGCTTGTCCTCAAGCTCGAGATCTGGATAAGCGTTGTGAAGATCAGACCAAGGAATCTAGGTGGCCTCCGCGGATGGTAGTTCGTCCCACTCTACTAGCACTTCTAAGGTTCCCCAATTGACACGGGACCAGACAAGAGCCCGATGTTGGAGAATGGGTCTACCATCCTTTAAGGGTGGCAGGGGAGGTATCTTCTCCGGAGGAGTCCCTGTAAATGGCTTGCATAAGGAAACGTGAAAGGTATCATGGAGTCTACTGTGGTCTGATAGCTCGAGTTGATATGCAACCTTCCCGATCCGCCGTAAAATCTTGAAGGGCCCGTAGAATTTGGGGGCCAGTTTAGGGAAAGCTCTGCGCCTGAGGGAGTGTTGCCGAAAGGGTTGGAGCTTCAGCCATACGAATTGTCCCGGTTCAAAGGTTACTTCTCTGTGGTGCTGATCGTAGGTGTTCTTCATGTGTGCCTGGGCCTGCTGTAGGCGTAGGGAGACCGAGGAGAGCATCGCGGTCCTATAG